CTCTGAGCCATTTATTGGTGTCCTACTTTCGACACCGAAAGTGAAAGAGCACTACTCGCGAAGTTCTACATGGAGGAGAGCTCTTACAAATAAATAGACGAGTAAAACACGCAGCTCTCAGTTTTAGCGACCAGGCAAGATCAATAATAAAGGTTTACGGACATGTTGAACATTTCTGTAATAAATAGTGTTCTTTCAGTTCCAAGTTGTGACTTAGTCTCAAGGTAGATTGTATGTTGCAGATTCTGGTTCTTACTCACACCCCCACCCCATCGGCATCGGAACTTCCGGCAACTACTTCCTAAACACCACCATCATCATCATCATCTCCTCTCTTGTCCCCGTTTTGTGGTGCCGAACATCTGTAGGCCATCAATATGCCTATCAGCTTTTTCAATTACACTTGTTTGGTGGGCCTTGTGACTGAGACTTGACATCAAAATATCTGGTAAAATAATGTCAGCTTCAACCCATTTAGGCAATAAAGCACTCTTACTTTTTGACATCCCAGAACCGCATTTGACCGGGGGCGCGGGGACGGGTTCGTTTCCACGGTTCCGAATTCGGGCTCTAAAGCCTGCGGAATTCGAGCAAAGCGAAATCGCTGATGACTTCCAAGGTGTCACCAGGCACATTGCTTGGCTTATGATGACCGTTTCTGGTCTTGGTAGTCGTCTTCAGCCAAGCCGACCGAATCTCAGGATTGGCAACACCTGAACTTTGATCCCCCGTTCTTTAGCTTAACGGTCCACCGCTGAGCCACGGACGCGTCCCTTCAGTTGCGATCGGAAATTCTGGCAACTGCTGAAAAAATGTTCTTTTCAACATGGTTGCAACAATTTGAGCCTGAGTAATCAGTTGGTATTACTCAATGGCTCCGACGTAACTAATTTCGGCAGCTTCCAAGGTATCGATTGGCACATTGCTTAACCTGTGGGGACAATTTCTGACTTTGGTAGTCGTCTTCATTCAACCCCACCGAATCTCAGGACTGGCAGCACCTGCGCCTTGATCCACCGTTCTCTAGCCAAACGTGTCCCGTCAGTTGCGATCGGGAATACTGGCAACTGCTGAAAGAATGTTCTTTTCGGCGTGATTGCAACAATTTGAGCCTGAGTAATAAGTTGACATTACGCAATGGCTCCGATGCAAGCAAATTATTCTGCCCACAATGTACGTTCGAAATTCCGAGACCGCAATACATTTATTTTGATGTTCACCGACGGCAAATTCTCCAACTCGCTTTGATTGAAGCTGTTCAGGCAAGATCCCCTGGGTCCCTTGTTTCCCGGATGAGGAGTGTGGGCTCCGAGTCAGCTGCGGTCACTATGTCGGCCACCAGTGGCTGTGCCAGCACAGTCCAAAACCAGCCTGTCGGAAGAGCACGATGAATGCAGACCGTAGGTGTAAAGACTTGCGCAGTTGGTACCTTCTATCGGAAGTACGTTCATCGATCCGATTACAGAACATACTCGGCCCGTTGTGCCTTGGAGCTCCATGTAAACCCTTTTATAGGCAGTCGCATATCGATCTTTAAGTGTGCTCTTTTAACGTAATCTCGCCTATTTAAAAACAATTCAGTAGGCTGACTGTGTGACACCGTAAAGTGCGGCTGCAGAACCAAACTTTACCGACCAGGAATATGTGCTGGTAGGCAGAGCTAACAAAAACTAAGGAGATTGGAATGGCAGTTTCTTGCCTGTATGCCTCCGTCAGTCAACCCTAGGCAACCCCAGGTCTTACCGCACCTGAGTCTCGAGCCCGCTCCCTTTGGTCATCGAGCGCTATTAAGTCCAGCGCTCTATGAAAGGGCCTCCTGGCTCAGTTGATAGACCGCTGGACTCACTAACGGTCGATGATCAAAGGACACAGGTTGGAAACTCAGGCGCTGCAAAACCTAGGTCTCGACGGTTTGCCTATCCTTCTTCCGCCCCATAAGGTCAGAAGAATCGCTTTGCAGACACAAACTAACTCTGATGCGAACTGGTGACTACGCATCGAAAACTCTATTTAGTATGCCATGGAGAGACTGCTTGACTCAGGTTTCGCCCACAAGAATTCTGCTGCATCCCCGCTCTTTGGCGACACCCAGCTGGAATAAGTGTCCCTCTAGAGGTCATTGTCAGAATTCCACCTGTTGCTCCTACACCGCTATGGTGTGTTAGCTTTCATGGAGAGCTTTCCCTGACAACCTAATATATGCGGAGAGTTTTTATTATTCTGGGATGCCTTTTAAGCCTGCGTCTCCCCCGCCACCGGCCTTCTTGACACCGGGTCCAGGTGGGTGAGGAGAGAGTGTGGTAGGTGCTGCGCAAGTCGCCGTGTTTGCTTTACCTTTCGGTGAAGCACACGGTGGACATCGTCGGCCACAAAAGTGGAACTGTCGGGGTGCCTTTTTTATGGGTAATGCCTACAATGTATCCTAAAAGAGTAGAGAAAATTGCGTTGTTTGTAGTCTCGTCCGAAATTAGTGCTCTCAACGGTTCTTGTCTCAAAACTACAATTCAAATAGTTCGAAACGCCTTTTGGCAAACACAAAGTTCACCCGGAAACTCGTAAACAGCAATAAAAATGCTGCACCTTTTCTCGGACAGAAAAGTCTTCTTAAACGCGGTCTTAATCATATCGCGTGTGGAATTTGGTCTCAGCTTATTCAGTAGGACAGGGAATTCTGACTTCCCGTTGTTCTTATCATTTGTGGCGAATCACTACTCGTTCAGAAGGTATACATTCCAAATTTGTTCTGCGCATTTGCAAATCTGCGCGCCACTTTTCAGAAGATATTAACAGAAAGTTTATTCCTCATAATCGTTCTTTGTTGAAGACGCGTTCTCCTTACATTTTGCTGTTGGCGTATAGAATATTTTCATGTTAAATGCTTCACTATTTGACATATTTTTTTGAAAGAATCTGCATTTTGGCGGGAGCAGAAGCACACCAATCCACCGACTTGCCGAAGCAGTGGTCTTGAGCAAACAACCCCCTGTCGGGCAGAATTCGACCAACCTATGAAAACTATGAAGTGACAACAGGGATTGGGGGTAGATTAATGGATAAATTGTTCAATTTTATTCTGCCTTTACTCAGCCAATCGTAATTCCGACCAACAAAAGTAAACAAAAACAGAAACATGCGCGCTTAAACGGTGTAAATGAACCGCAAACAAGGTCTAGGGCACTACACATCTGCCCGATGAAGCACTTTGGACCGATCTGCTAGACCTCGTCCGTGTTCCCTTTGCGCGGTGTGTGCGCGTGCGTGTTTGTTTATCTGATCCCAGCTGCTGGTCAGAGTTAGGATTGGCTGAATGAGAGCAGACCGAGCCCGAAATAGTTCTGTATCAATCTACCAGCATCTGTGTCGTCCCTCGCCCACTGCCGACATCGGCCTGGTAACCCGTTGCCTGTTCGTGATCTCTGCCACACATAGGGAGCTTGTTTGCTTCGGGAAGTCAATAGGTTGGTGTGCGCCTATTCTTGCTTTAATAAATACCCTATCTGCAGCAGGGAAATGCCGCAATGAAGATGTTCCGAGACCTTTAAAATATTCAAATATTCCAAAAACAGTGAGTATTCTTGTGGGAAACCTTAAAATCTTGCGGGTAGTAGACCATACGCACATTTGAAAAAGGCCTTCCAAATTTAAGAAATTTCTTTTTAAAAAAGCCAAAAATGTTCCTCTTTCGACGGTAAAATGTGGTTATGTAGCCCCGTCTGATGGACACAATACTTTTGGGGCTAGAGTTAGCGGTTTGGGCAACTATTTCTCAACCACTCAAAGTAAAACCGCAAATTCCCAGTAGTTTTTCTCTTGTATACAGCTACTTGACTTCGTTACCTGTGCGTTCCCTGTAAAAACCCCTATTACCACCCGTCCGTATTACAGGTGGCTGGGGTTTATTTACTTCAGGTGGAGCTACAAAACCACATCTGACTTATTCACCTGCACCTCTTCCAGAAGACATAATTTCCTCTAATACGACTTTTGTCAGTTTATATTGCAAACATGTTTACTTTAAATTGGCAACGAGATGAGTACTAAACTTTTCCCACGCGTTATCGACACAACCCTCAGGGTGGATTCATTCTTGGTAAATGGTATGCCATGGGGGTCAAATTAATTTATGACTGCCTCGCGCCTGCTAGCATGGTTACCACATTTTAGGAACATTTTCTGTCTGAAAGCACATCCGAGAATGTGGATAAATGCATACTGACTTTCGGCACATATCAGGTATGCTCTTAATTCTATCACGACCCGCTAGTTATCGCCCCTTGGGAGTCTGCCAACTGGTGGGTGAAGGAGGATGCTGTGAAAGTCTGCTATTATTATAAACTAACGAGAAGTGGACACAGCAAGTGAACTCCTGAGAAGATGGCCTGACCCAGTTGTTTCATGAACCATCCCATCGTCAAGAGTTCGAGTATCATTCTCCACCGCCCTTGTTTTACGCGAAGGTAAGGACAAGTTGCCAGTTCGTGCGACCCCAATGTGCATCTATTCCTTTGTTTGCCCCTGTTGAGTAGGTTACATTGGTCTCACGACTCGGCGCCTAGCCAGAAGAATACGGGAGCACCTCCTGGCACGGTTGATAAAAGAGGAAATTAAGAGCGTAAACAGCGCGATTTTTGCACATCTTATTGATTCCGGACATCATGTGGACACCAACGCAACCCATTCGTGTGATTTATAGGATCCCACCGCAGCACCCTAAGCCACTGGTTCAGCGTCTGCTAGTGATAGCAGAGGCCCCCACTAGCAGGCTACGGAGGCCGGTCCTGTACTCGCAAAAGAGCTCTGCGGGCCATGGCAAACGGCATGAACTTCTCCGATCCCTTCCCCCTCCCTGGACACGGTTCAATCTAACTTATGGGAGTGCCTACATCCAAAAATAAGAGCCAGCCAACCACTGCTGGCCACGTGCGCCTTCTCTGGCACGCGATACTTTCGCCATTCCGGCAGATCGGCCGGTTCCCGAAATCACTGCTGCGACTCTTTAGATGTACCGCTTTCGATATCAGTTGCTGTCTCCGCGTCTCCAGGCGACAAACTACAACGAAGACGCCGGACAAACCACGTGCGTCGATCAACACTGGCGATTCAGAATCAATCCACGCCTAAAGCGGTACTGATCTACTTGGAGGGGAGGTGATGGGAGTGCCAACACTCCCAAAAACTAGAGCCAACCAATCACTGCAAGCACGCTGTCAGCATGATGGTGGCGCCTCGCCATTGGTTGCCCCCCTCGAGCCTGATTGGTCCGTGTATGCGAGAAATCGGTCAGCTCTTCTATAATTTTCTTCTCGAAACACACTAACCCGAATGCGGACGAACCCCAATAGGATGTTATGAATGCGCGCTATTTTTCCAGTTAGAATGACTTACAGATTTCCTATACAGTTTTTCGTGGCCGATAGTGTTTTTCTTCACTGTCAAGTTGGTATTGGAGACAACAGTCATGTGCGCATACACTTCGCGTGATTTCTGAGTACGAGGCCGGGTCATGGCACCAACCGTTAAAGTCTTCTAACTCACTGTCTCTTATTACCCGTTCCCCTTTATTCCTACACTTCAAGCGTATGAAAAGGAGAACTGGCGGTATAAATCGGACTGAAGGATTGAGGGTCAGAATCAATGACTCCTTCTTAATGAGATCTCTGGGGCAAGTTCAGTACTGCGAGGTTCAGGTCGTCTTTCAGACATGTTTAATTCTGTCAGTCACTGCCCTGGTGTCCACCTTCGGTCATCCTGACATCGTCTGGCCAGTGGAACAGGGTGCATGAGGGAAGCGAGAGTGAGGCAGGTGCTACGTAAGTCTGTTTCTCCGCTAACCCATTTTTGGTGGACTAGATACGCAATGCCACGCTGCAAACAGGTAACGCCATCAGTAGCATGATTTTCAGAATAATATTTTCAATATACTCCCACACAGAGATACGTGTTTCGCAATGGGCCCTCAGAGTTCTCTCTGTGGTCTCTAACATGTGAACTCCACTCCGTCATCGCTTGCGACGGTCGAGTTTTCAGTGTGCCCATAATATGCCATCGGCAGGTTTCCGAATTTAATTTAAAGAAAGTATCAGCAGTTCTAGCTCATTGTGATTATTTTTGACTGATGATTTATTAGCTGATAAATGCTTTTTTCACAAAAAAATCAGCAGTTCAAAATGACCGTATTGCAGGTCACTCGCCTAAGGCCTATTATGACGGATGGTAAGGGAGGGAAATGTAATACGACGACAACGTTGTGGAAAATAATAAAATATACAAAGTATTGTATTTTTTGATCGTCCTCGTGCTAGTGACACACTAGTAAGTCTGACAGACATATAAACTATTAAGTTATCTATGGCGGAGTGGTACATATAATTATTCAGCATACAATTCTAAGTTTGCAGTATTGAAAAGTGTTTTCTTGCCTTGTCCCAGTTTTCTTTGATTACTAAAAAATGGTTTTCGATGGAATTGAAGTCCAGGTTGTTGACAGGGATAAAAAATGATTCGGAAGTCGCGGACAGAGAGGCTGACTGTGGTCGAAATGATTAAAATATAGTTGCAAATCATATTACTGTTTCAAGTTTCCGCTGTGACACCCCATGAATTGCGTCATCTACTGTAAGTAGTGTTTTAGGAAAAATCCGAAGTAGTGTACACTCCGATATGATATTATGAAAGGAGAAATCTCGTCGAAAAAAGGTTTTTCTCGTAAATGTTCAAGCTGGTTACACCAACCGGTCGTCAGATGAAATGGATAGTGAGAAGTGGGATAATTATGCAGAGGACGCAGGCAGGGAGATAAGCAGACGACCTTGCGAGGGGGAAGTGTGCATCGTGTTGTGGTGGGTGCCGGAGGTGAGAAGAGGCTTTGTGGGTCCCAATTGTGGCTCGTCGTGTTGAGGGGGGCGGGAGGGAATGGATAGAGGGAGGAAAGGTGTGTCGGTGAGACCACACATGTCCCGGCATGCATTAACTGTTGTTGATCGGAGACCTTCGTAGTGGACATCTACATCAACATGGTGGTTAATGCTGACCGCACCGGAGCACCGAGCTTTGAGGAGTTCCCGTGCTTGTTTGATGCTAGCCATGGCGACCACTTCTGTACCGTTCCAACTGAAACGGTGGTCACAATCAAGAGCGTGCGCAATCACGAGAGATAAGGGGTCGCGTCGCGCGAATAGCTAGCTTGTGTTTGCTAATGCGAGTCCCAAGTCGTCGACCCGTGTGACCAATATGAACGCAACGGCAGTTAGCGCACGGGATGCACTAAATGATGTTAGTTTGCTGTTCTTTGGCTAAGGGATCCTTTACCCCGGACAATGTTGTGTATTAAGGAAGACGCCGGCTTGTGAGCAATGCAGATGCCAAACCGTTTAAACATGGTCAATCCTTTTTGGTCGTAGTCGCATAGTTACTCTACCTATAGTCCGCCATCCGCATATTTTGTAAACTTTTAATGAGCGGACCAGGGATCAGAGCTTGTTGAGATTATTTTTGACAGAACACCCTGCCTCATCGTGGAAATATGGATGCACCTAAGAAATAGCCGACGACCATGGACCTCATCCTCATATGAAATTCAGTCTATGTTTCCAAGACTGTCTGAGGCGCTGAACTGTTGGAAAACAAAGTAGTTCAGTACCTCAACTAATAGCTCTCAAAAGGCCCACATTCTTGAATGATGAGCACAGGAAATGCTTTTCCCTGTGAATCCGTAAAAATGCGAGAATTTTGTATTATCTAGACAACATTTTAGTCTGGTAACAACTTAGGCGATGGCCTTAGGGGTTAAAATATTGTATAGACTCCTCGGTCAGATATACCGCCTTCACTGCCGTCGAGGTGGATTCTCTGATTCATTGTTAGATCAAAAAGGTACTTGATCAACTAAATGGATATATGAGAAACTAACGCGGGGAGATCCGTTTCAAAAATGACGTCTATTACGACACAAATGTCATACAAATGAATGAATCCTGGAATACTCGCTTGCCCTCTTGCAATTTTCGCTCCGGAGGCGACATCAGGCTACATATTGCGAGTCGACCCGTATTCGTCATGAAAATTCTACCTGTGCGTCAACTGGACAAACCCCCCTAAAGTCACTTTTCTACCTAAAATCGTGCCCATCCCGTTAAAAACTGTACGTACATAGGCAACACGCGGCCAAGCACGAGAGAAGAAAAAACACCAGTACGCCCCTTACGAGGGCACGCCTGCAGCGTAAACTACGCCTCAGAACCCAGCACCTTGCTTCGAAAAGGTCGAATGGGAGGTCGGCACTAGTTGCGGCAGGGCAAGCATCGTCTCGAACGGCAGGCAACATCACTAGGTCACTGAAAATGCAGGATTTTTCTCGGCATAGCCGCCCTCAAGACCTGCCTGAATCATCTTTCTCCCCTCCTCCCTCCTTGGAACTTTGTTTCCTGCACACAGTAGGTGGGCTAACTCATAAAATCTAAACCGAAATTCCGAAATGCGTTTTCGTTTCAAAAAGATTAATTACGTAGGGTTGTTAAACTAGTCAGCCTGTAACATAATTCTATAATATTTCAGTTACCTCAGGATTCCGGCTTTCGAACGAACTTCCTTCCGGCTGCATGAAAAAACTACACTCTGTGAAAAATGACTACTTATAAAGCATGAATTTTTCTCATTGATTTTCGATGCCCCTAAAAGTCCAATTATATTTCCTGGAAAGCATTATAAAATATTCATTCCTTTGCTCATTCGGTAGAAAATTAAGCCTTCTTCTAATTTCATACTCGAAGGAGGGACATAATTCGGTTTTAGAAAAGTTTCTAGCTGTGGGACTTTTAAATACCGTGAAATGGCCGTTCATAAATCGTCATATCTCTGCATTTACCAATGTGGCTTGTAAAGTTAACAGCATGGATCAAATCCACTGCTTAATTCTATGAACCCTATATGGTCGCTCTTTGTTGCAATAGAGAAATGTGTGGTTTTCCGTACGCGGAAAATACATGGCTTGTAGATTGGAAACCCTGAATCCAAGTGTGGCGGTAGAGCGGGTTCTGAATTATTCGGAAATTGGAAAACTTTTCTCAAACCGAATTATGCCCCTTCTTCGAGTATAAAATTAGAAGAAGACGAATGAGCAAAAGAATGTATATTTTATGACCGTCTCCCATGAAATATAATTGGACTTTTAGGGACGTTGAAAATCAGTGAGAAAAATTCATGCTACATAAGTAGTCATTTTTTGCAGAGTGCAGTGTTGCATGCATCCGGAAGGAAGTTCGTTCGAAATTCGGCATCCTATGATAAGTAAATTATTGTAGAATAATGCTGCATAAGGACTAATTTTACAACCCTTCTTTATGAATCTTTTTGAAACGAAAACACATTTCGGAATTTCGGTTGACATTTCACGAGTTAGCCCACCTGCTGTAGGTGGCCGGGGTAAGCAGAAGGGTGAAATGCCCTGCCGGCCAAAATCAAGGCGACCGCGGGTGGGCGTGGGCCAGCAGATTGGTGTGCGGCACAAGTAGTACTGTTAGTAGTATTATTTCTAGAATAATATTTTCATGAAATTTCTCCAGAAATACAGGTGTTCGCCGATATATCGACTGATTCATGATGTAAATGTTAGCGGTTCAACCCTGCAACGAGTCCCGAGCATTCTCTTTGTACTATCCGCCATGAGAATTCCTGATACGAATGCACCGCGGTTAACGAAGCAGACGGTAGGACGCTACCGTGCATCTGGCCCAACGAATAGTTAGACATTGAAGAATGCGTCCGACCCAACGTCCGTCAAAACGTAACCACCCACCTGGCCTGACAGGGGTAATCGCCTGCCCAACTTCCCTTGAATTCATTTTAATGACGTCACTTTTGCTATCCAAGTGCTCCAACAGCGCCAAAACTCTTGACATCCACTTCAGTTGGCTCGTCGCCATTTCAACATCAAAAACTCCAGCAAAACCCTTGACCCGAGTGTGTCCAGACTACGACTTAGCCTGCATAAGTCCTCCGTTTGATCGAAGACTTTGCTTTGGTATCGCATTAGTCACGACGGCGACATTTAACAGGGCCCTGTTTGCCAGTAATCAGCTCAATTTTTAGCCATACCCTTCAATGTTTATTTACCCTCCGTAATCAGCAACTCACACAGACTGTTCAATAGTCGTGAGCACCAAATTCAACCGTGTGTCCCACGTAGTACGCTCAATACCGACAACTTGCGTGTGATTGGTTTACAATGAAGCGGATTTTCGTTGCATCTACTCCATTCTCTTCCTTCATCCAATCACCAATCGCAGCTCAGCGTGGACAGAGCCCGTCTACCCGCGCCACATGCACTTCTTGGTCCCTAATCTAAAATTTGGCAGGGTCCAACAATATTCACCGAATATAAGGATTAGCGCAATAAATGCCGCAAACAAATACGGACTGCTAGGACTCCTTTCGAGCGCCGACGGACAGCAGAATCCAGCAAATGTCCCAAAAAGTTTTATGGGTAGACCTGTAGTAGGAGAAAACAAAGGAACGAGATTACGTGTCTAAAGGATAGCCTCGGAAACTTGTAAGTTGAAGGGCCACAGGAAGTGCAATTACTATCTCAGTTTTTTCGATCGGGTTTTGCGGAGGAGTCCTCTGAAAGCAAGCAGGCGTTCGAAATGAGCCAAGACAGCCGGGCGTTTCAAATGCACCAAGATACTGCTGTCATTGCAACTGTTGCCTTTTCCGTCGAAGAATTAAGACTTGTCCTCAGTCAAATAAAACCAGATCCGACGAGATTCCTGGGCTGATACATGAGGAGCTATCAGTGGACCTTTCAAAGCCTCTTTCGACTCTCTTTGAGCTGTCAATGAGAACAGGAAGGCTGCCATCACAGTGGAGGAGAGCTTACTTCGTTTCCTTGCATAAGAGAGGTAGCAGGATGGCAGCAAGCAGCTTCAGCCCTATAAGCTTAACTTGCCTCCCATGCAAAACGATGGAAACTCTACAGCAATTTTGTCAGGAAAATAACAACTTGCAGGATTTTCGGCATGGCTTCCAAAGAAGACGTTCCTGCCTCTCAAATCTGCTAGCTTGTCTGGAGATCTGGACCAGGATTTTAGAAGAGGGTTTTGAGGTCGATTTCGTTTACATCGATTTCCGCAAAGCTGTTGACGCTGTCCCTCACCAAAGCCTTCTTCACAAATTCGGCGCCATCGGCATCCGGGGAGAACTTCTGAACCGGAAAAGGGCGTTTCTGGTTGGTCAGCAACAGCGTGTCTGTATAAGAAATGATATATCCGACTGGGTGAACGTGACTAGTTGTGTGCCTCGAAACTTAGTTATCTCCATCCTTTTTGTTAATGACAGCTTTCAGGAACTCGACTGCGATAACAAAATGTTTGCCGAGGACTTTAAACCCTGGCAAGTCACTTAGAATCCAAATAACCAGAGAGCCCTTCAAGATACTCTGCCTCGACTGCAAGCGTGGTCGGAGAAATGGCTTCTAGATTTCAGTGTGCAAAAGTGTGCCGTCCTCCATCTGCGCCCAACCAAATCTCATTCAAATGAGAGCCTGAGGACATATCACCCGAAAGATATTAGACTCCCCGCAGAATTTTCACAGACGGATGTTGGTGTTTGGATACAGAGCGACATGAAACCAGCACTGAAGTGCAACAAGGCCGCAAAAAACGCCATGAGAGTACTACACGCCATCAAAAGGGCGTTCGTAACCTCTGACAAAGACCTTTTGAAAGAGATTACAGCACATTTGTTCAGCCATATTTAGAATATGACACATAATTGTGGCGGCTATGGCTAGTAAAGGACCAACCATGAGTCGAACGTGTACAACTTCGTGCAACAAATTTGATAAACGGTTTAAAAAGCCAATCCTGCATAGAAAGACTGAATTGCCTTGACTTATTCTCTATGCGTCACAGGCAGCAAATATGTGATCTTATTCTGGTTTACGAGATAATACATGGCCTTGTGCATGGACCGAGCTTTGAGGACATTTATCAATGGCACCTTTTACTCAGTTTTCGTCGTCACTCGATGGAGCTACGCACAAAAATATCCAGGCTAAATCTTCGTTTTGAATTTTTCACACAAAGCGTATGGAGAAATGAAACGATCTCCCTCAATCAGTCGTGGAGGCGACGTCCATGCTACTGTTCGAGAAACGCTTGGATGATTATTTGTGTCCCCTATTTTCCCTCCACAGTCTGAACCTCAGCCAAATACCCCGCGACCCCCGAAATATCTTCTCTGAGATAATGCTACTCAAATGAATCAAGTAATGTTTTAATAGTGATAATGTTCATTGTTCTTGTACAGTTATATCTAACGCGCTGACATGCAATCAAAAGGGTTTGAAAGGCCCTGCCTATTATCCCTACCAAGTAAATAAATAAGTACATAAGCTAAACAATAGGGGCAACTCGGATTTTACATGAACGAGAATACCATAGTGACCACATTAAAAAGAGTTCACTGCAACCTGACGCTTTTTGCTTCAGTCACTCCACTATACTCACCACTAGGACCAATCTATCCCGTCAGTTAGAAAAACCTAGAAAACTCTTAGCGTGTCGTGATAGGTTTAAACCTGTCAAATTTAATGTGGTGGGGAAAGCACTGATTTATCGTGGCAATGGATTCCTCAAAATCGACTACACAAATCGACTGCCCGAGTCTGTCAACCAACTGGTCATGAGACTGGACACAGTGGCTAACAAAGCTGAACGACCCGTTTCTTTGTGCCTCACAAGACCAGATCCCAAATTTATGCATCAGTCTACTTAGAATGGAATGCTTCCCACGTAGGTGATATGGATACGTGTAGATGTACGACGTCCCGCTCGTCCCACTAACTACTTCCAAACCCATTATATTCCAACGGCGAAACAGACACAAGACAACTACTGACAGATGTGGATCCAGTGGCTGTAAACCCCGAACAGGACTCCTTCGTGCCCGGTACCTCCTGGTACCTGACTCCAACAGAAGTTCAAAGAAACACTAGGTTCTCAAGTCTCACACAAGTGAGAGGGCTATAAAGGTCAAACCGCAAACGACAGGATAACGAGCTCACGGCTCAGTGGTTAGGGACGTTGGGCTTAGAACCAACAGGCCGCGGAGTTGAGCCCTCGGTGTTCTACACTTCGGGGTTGGGTATGACTGACTGACGATGGCTAATAAGCCAGAAAGGACCATTTCAGACTCTCTCATCTTTTGCGGTAATACTATCCTGCCCACGTTACGTGCCGCTGTGCGACTGCTGGTGGTACTCAAGAGTGAGTCCAAAGGCACGACAGCGGTCGGTAAGCGCCCCTCTACCGTGGTAATGGCCTGCCAAAGTTACCAGATTCCAGTGGATTTCAGAAAGTTTAATATGTGAAGGAGCAACGTTTTTTACGTCCACCGGCTATTTGTCCTATCACATAAGATAATTCAGATAATAATGATATCCACAAATGTTAAATCGCAAGTTTTAAAAGAATACTGAGCTACGTACAAAATGATGAAAAGCCTCCTGAAAATTGAAATTTGAAGTCTGAGTTCAGGCAGCCCTCATTTCAAAACAATACTCTGAAGAAAAAGCTATTTCGCGAAAGGAAATGGAGGAGCAGGATAGGTTCCTCCTGAGGGTAAGATCAGACTATGAAAGCAAGTCAGTATGTTTGGACGAAGTGTCATTGGGATGCAGAGTAGTGGCAGACCCACATTGAGGCCGACAACTGGGGTGAGACCTCGACATTCCAATGGTCAGAGCGGAGGCTGTTTAGACTGTGAGAGTCAATATGATCGGGATCACTTCTCTGGGATCGCGTTTTGTGAATGACGCCTCTCATGAACTGAAAAAAATGAAAAATTCATCTGAAGCCTCGTGAGGAGTCAAACCACTCGCGGAGAAGTAAACGCGAGCGGATAAGGCAGTTTGGCAATGGCGGCGTCCTAAATGCCCAATGGTCATTTTTCAAAGTTATGTAGAAAGCCGCTCAGGAAGGATAACGAAAGATCAATTAAACTTCATTTATTTCGTTCTTTTTTAGACAAATAAAAAGTTTTCTTTTGTGAACGTTCGGTATTCACTGCAGTTATGGCTGGTTACCTTAAGCCGGGACTTGATTTAGCTTGCAGAAGAACCACCTTCGCTAAAGCTTGTGCAATGTCATTTGTAAACCTTTGCGCTTGCGTCAACAAAATATCCACATTAGCTAATGCATAGTCTAACCGTGCGCTCATTCCCAAACAAGAATGTAGTTGTGGATACTAAGCTGATACCAGTTTCAGTTCTAAGGCGCACCAGGAAGGAAATTTTCCGTCAACTAATGGGATTACGAACAGCCATCTCAAAAATCCTTATCCGCAGTGGCTTTCTGCTTAAATTGCAAGACTATCCAGGTATTTTCTAACACCTGCTAGAATACTGGGAAGCCAACTACGTAGAAGTGCAAATAGGCCTAGATTGGATTATAAAGAAGCGCTTTCGACCGTCGAACTGCCAAACAGTCCTGGAGTAAATCGCGTTCTTTTTTATGATGACGTCCACCACTGGCCAATGAGATAATAGCAGAGTTCCTATCCCGCAAGTCTGTCTACTGCAAATCAGAACTGTGCCGCGTAAACGAGTGAGTCGATGCAATCAATGCCACCAGATATGCATTACTCGTTACAAAACTGCCAACACGGGTTCCCAAAAGGCAGATCAAATATAATCAACCGTTTCCGATTTCTGTAGATCAGGACTTGTACATAATCTTTAGCACTCTGCCAAGTCAGCTACCTTTACACCTACTTGAAATGAATTAAATTTGTATGAGCACCCGCTAACTAATCGTGACTTCTTTGACGGCTGTTTCCTGGTTATCTGTTTCGTGCAAGATCGATTTTATCCTCTTAGAGTCAAGAACAGCGGTCTCCAGGGTTCGGTGTCGGTTTGGGAGTAGCATTTTCCACCAACTTTTTTCTGCGCCTGCCTGTCAGCCGACGGCCACAAAGACCGCGCTAACCCGAATACGCGTTACTAACGTACGGTCATCCAGACGACGAAAATGCAATCACTGAAAAAAGAAGTTTATTGGCTTTACAGTTCGAATTCTCACGACCTCATTATATGAGTCGGTTGCAGATAAGGGTAGTGGAGGAACAAGGACCGCAGTATTTATGGTACGTAGCTGCCATGGACTCATATGCGTACTATAATCAACACCTCTCATGATCACCGCTGTGGGTAGTAATTAAACCGATGATGGTTCGTCAGTCCGCGCCATAGTCGTTAGTTGCCGCAATTTCATCAGCCGTGTTGGATGTTGGCGTGATGATCGATCGGAAATTTGCCCCCGCTATCACCGGGATTGTTGCTCGCCCGCGCACTCCCCACGTGACTGATTCCCCTGCCTTGGGAATGTCTCAGCATTGCATATGGTGCAGGGAGGTCATTGCGTTTGTTGATGGATTGCGGGCCCGACAAACATGATTCTAGCATCTCGTGACTCCCGCGGTTGCCACCTGTTTCGAGGACTTCGGTTTCTCGAAACTTGGAAATATGGCCGAGTTCTGTAGGATGAGCCGCTACCTGAGAGCTGGCGTCTTTCCCCCTCACCGCTGCTGCGCGCTCAGCCGTGCGCTTGCGGAGTAATCTCCCAGTATCTCCGACGTAGTTGCAATGCTAGCGATTACAACAGCAGCCTAGCTCTTGATGGACAGCTCCAAAAAAGACCTTGGCGGAATTTTTTGGCTATATGTGTTTGAGCCATTAGATTTCCAACATTTCAATGGACATTCGTGTTCGACTCTTTCGAACCTCATTTCTTCTTTTCCTAAACACGAAGTCTGTTGTTTTTTCTTGTATATATGACATTCAAATGTCAATGTACATTATTCTTGGCAGATTCAGCAGAAATTAAGGTTCACGTACCACAACTTCCCTCCAGAACTCTGTAAGCTAGGGTCATTTTCCCTGACCTTTCCAACTTTTTGTTAAGTACCCCGGTGCGTAGCCTGAGTATTGTGTCCTTGAGTTTTACGACATAAATGGGACATTACATCTATGGGTCTATGCGTTTCCCAATTAGTTAGGCCTTACGTCCAGAACTTTGAACTTTGTGTGCGGCGTAGCAACATATGGGACGAATGAATGACCTATTAACAGCGCGCAATTCATATTGGCGCGAAAATCCAACAGGCAACCAAATATTTTTCAATTACGGGATCGGTCTCCCATTAATTTTAACTATTAAAGAGAGCCTAAGGAGCTTTGAAGCAAAACGAGCTTCGATTTAACTCGCTTGTTCAGGCTTTAAATTATGAGCTAGATACTATCTTTAAATGTTCTTTCCGTCACATTGAAATTCTCTCAATTTCTAAATTCATTAGACTCACAGACAGTAATCCAGTCTGGTTGCCCCCAAATATCTCGGAACCATTTTTGATTCGTTTTCAAAGATCATCTTGCATATTTGAGCTTGTCAATGCAGTCATGTCACGCAACAAATTGTATGGCAGTACATGTCCTGTCATGTACTGTAGATAAAAAATAGTGATAACGACGTTTTTACACTTTTTACTGAAGTGCTTGATTTCGCTGGGTCCAGTGCTGGAAAATACGTACGTACATATTATATAAGTTCTAGACATTAGGCCAGTGCTGTGCACGCGAATTTCTAATTTCAAAATAAAGTTCGGAATATCCAGTGGTGCACCGGACAATTATAATATCCAAACTTTCTGTGCATGCTTATTTCACGTTTTCTAAATCTATACTACCGTATAAGAAGCTATAGAATGCAAATTACTTTTGCCAACGACACAATCTGCATCTTCCAATTACCTGGAACTGTTCGTCTTACTTTTTAAGGAAATCCACAATCTTGAATGTAACTCAAATGTGACAATACTGCCTTCAATAAACATAACCTTTCTGAAATATGGAAGCCAAGCAAAAGGGCCAACAACCGAATATATAAATAAGGTTTTTTTGAAAAGTGTTTGGACTTGGGACGATTATTTGCGAGCCAAAATAATGCAGATATATACCCTTAACAGAGCTGTAATTTCTACTTGTCTGACGCCAGCATTTTACGATATGTTCCTTTAAATTCCTCTAAATCAGCATTATGCTTCCCAATTGATCTGTTAAATACAGCCATTGTGAAAAGTGTGCTGAATGATAACTGAAATACAGCTTAGACGCATTTTCCTCCGTTCATGGATGGTTTCCTGTATCGCAGTCATTGGCAAGTTTCAGAATTTTGTCTTGTCCGTTACTCGGAGATTAACGAAGGCCTTTGTGTCGATGGCAGTCCACCATACAGTCACCCTTACCACAGTACACGTATCATATTATATCATTCAGATCTACATAAAAGGTTCATGCTTCAAATCCGCATGAGATCGTCGACGACCAAAACTTTGCATCGCCTGTAACTCTGCAAGCTCTAGATTCAAAGAAATTTGGTCTGGCAGAAAAGGACTTTAAATAAACTCTTCGAACCTTGTAACTAAGTTCGAAAGTCATGAGATGGGATTTTCGAATTCCTTTGTGTTTCAAAATGTTGTACAGAACTCTAAGCGCGGTGGGGACGTTTTGGTTCTTCCAGGCACTTTCACTGTTTTGACTAACCGATGATAGTTTCGACCAAATTTGAGAAACAGCAGTATCAGATCGCACGATAACGGACCTCTAGGGGATTTTAGGCGAATGAGGTCTTACTGGTTGTCGATTATGCATTCGTGGATTGGGAGCCATGACGGTCAAGTTGAACACGTGATATATGTTTATTCTGTATGCGAAAGCGCTTTATAGCAAGTCCGATAAAACTTCACATTCGGAACAGGCCCTTACATGTTATATTCAATGTTGTTGCGAGCATGGGCAAAATAAAACCACAGTTTGAACGATTCATATGATCTCATCTCTGTCATGACAGTAACCTGTGACCCATATCGTCACTTTTATTCGAAATATATACGTATATATGGGCAGTATGTTAGTAACGACAAAGACAAGTAAGACTGGAATGGCCACATCGGGCTTATTAGCCGTCGTCAGCCAGTCATACCCAACCCCGATGTGTGAACCTTCCGAGTCTCGCATTCGCAACCTGTTCGTTAGAAGTCCACACCTCTAACCATATATATAATCGACAGCAGTCGCTCGCTTAATAAAATATCGACTCCTTTTCTAAGCAAGAATGGTAGAAGTCAAAGAACACTTGCAAACGAGAACTTAAAACAATTACACTCACGGGGTTATTTAAGGTCAAACTCGACCGCTACTGAACTGAATGCTAGAATACGTCGCATGTCGGGGTATTGAAGAACTCCAGTGTCTACAAGCAAAAATCCCTGTTCGATTCTGTTCAGTTCTAAGACAGTACGCAATCGATTTTCATCGTTGCAGCTCTCTAATGTCTCCAGAAATTAACTGCTTACTTGAAGTAGATCGGCCTTTTGGAGACTTATAGTCTCAGAATGAGATTTAATACGAATGTCTGGGCCGGAGTCTATGAGCCACAGCGGAATACTCGCGCAACATTCATAATCTGCCGGTATGAGTAGCATGATATACCATATTGTACAGCATGTATACCAATCATTAATTTGTGAGGACCCTTCTATGTCAAAATGTCTGAAAGCGTGTGCTATGCTAGGATCAGTAAACCATGGCCCTCACAGCCTGGTATGCGCTTGCAGTTCCCTGACATCTGGTCCCCTGCCGGTAGGTGCGTTTTTGCTTCCGCTGGGTATTTAGGTGTTGTGCATTACCGCATAGTCACCATCGTCTTTCTGATTTCTGTTGGGACGTTATTGTTGTTTTAGGATAAGATGATCTTATGCTTACAGCATAGGTACTAGGCAGAGGCCCATACACGCGTGTTTCGCCCATATTCTGCCGCTTCATGGCGCAGCTGCGAAGGCTTCGGCTCGTCAGTAGGTCCCGCAACATTCCGTTTCTGTCGCTTTTTAATTTCTTCAGAAATTAACTAAGAACTTGGAGCAGATTAGTTAATTCAAGGTCTAAAGGCACAACCCAAGAATTTTTATACATGAATATTTAAACTAAAGTTCATCAGCCACAGCGAACAACCGCGTAATATTCATTAATTGCCAAAAGGAAGCTGGTAATATACTTTACGATAATATTGCTGTTGTTGTTGGCCTAAAACCTAGCCATTTACTGTGTTTAAGTAAAATCGCTTCTTCTGGGCATGATTCACGGATTTTGCTAATGCATTAGTAATGAAAATACGTTCTTTGTGTCCTTCTTAAGATTGACTTTTACACTTCGATTTGAGGAGAATGTATCAACGGTTTTTATCATCTATCTTTAGGTTACAAACCCACAAACAGTCGTATGGCGAAAGCATGTACATACCTATAATAAATTTGGCGAAATTAAAAAGTGTAACTGGCCCCGGGCTTCATACTGTAGCCCTGGGGCCTTTTCACCTCCAGTTGGGTCGATGTAGGTGTATCAGAAATATCTAATTTAAACTTCGTGGTCTCTGTCAGAAAAACGTTCAAATAAGGCAAAGTTTTCTTCTAGGTACGTGCCTTACGCAGGAAACGTTTAGACCATTCCCAATATCTCAACCTCGCATATGCCTTCCCTGGATATCTGCCCTGAAATTTACTAGGACTTTTTTCCCTACAGAACCGAGATGGATCCTCGATTCAAGTACAGAAAAATCCAACCCATAAATTATGGCCTGCTGAAAGAGGTGCGCGAAAAAACAACTCAGGAGATGCTGATGTTTGATGAAAAACTTTCCAGGCAGGCGGCCTATCGGCAAGAGATGAAGGACGACCAGACTCTGCGATCTCATCAGCAGGTCTGGTTCGAGGCTTGTAGGCGGATAAACGAGTGCTATTCAAATATTCAATCGGAGTTGGCTACCATTTATCACTCAGAAGACCTCGCTGCTGCTGAATTTGAGAATGAAAAGAACCTACTTCAGTATTTGGAAGAGTTGCAGAAGCGAAACAATGAATTCACCTCCAATGTCCTTGACCCAATTACCACTCTGAGGTTTAGCTTTACACGTCTGACGGAACCTGCTGTTTTAGGATTGATCTCAAAACCTGGCTCATGATGCGAGAGCAGGGAAAACCGACCACTGATCCCAGACCAATTAAAGATCTGGTTCATGGAATGTTTGCTTCCATTGCTGCTGTGGAGAAAGATTTGGCGGCTGAAGAGGACGCCCTCATCGCAGGGAATGGCAGTGGTAAGTGCGGCATCACTGGTTTCAGTTAGGTCTCCTAAGAGATCAAGGCATATGCAGGAGACTGGCGGACCAGCACCGAGACAGGTATCACATGCCCACCATCGGTATACCGCCAGAATCCTGGCAGTGGGATGCGCCAAGTGATGAGTTCCGCGCTAACCTCCTGACAGAATTCATTCACCTGGACGCGGGTTATATGGAGCGAATAAATCGGCTGAGAGCTGAAATCATCGATCTGAATGACTGCTGGTGAGGCTTTCATTCTCGATCTTTAAAAATCTTGATTTAGAAAATATTAGACGAAAGCATTTGGAAGGCAGTGCATTGGAATTGGCAGATGCGTGTGAGTGACGAGCGGTAGACTGTGCAGGTCCGCATAGGAGTGACTCTATTCTCCTAAGATTTTACGTTTGGGTTTGCCGACACCTGGCTTGAACTGTCATCTGCTGGTTTTAGCTGATTAACCATAGACGATTATCGAGGCACGCACGTCCCTGACGACAACACTTCTCGTTTTCTGGTCGTCATGCGACCCCGTGCGTGGCTCACATATCCTCACCTTCGGAGCGAAACGAAAATTTTTATATCTATAAATGGACATATAATCGAGAAATCTCATGCTGCAACAGAATATGCGTGAGCAGTTGAGGAGGGTGCGATGTGTGCATGTTGGTGCGCTAAGCACAGGTTTGCCAGTCTCTGTGCGATGGATTCGCAGGTGACCAACCAGACCAATGCGGGATGCTCATGTATGATGACACTATGGGCGAGATAGGCTTAGCGCTGTTGAACCGGTTGGGGTTACGCAGCTAGGATTCGCCCCTGGTGACGGGGATGTCGGTAGTGCTGGAGGTGTCGGACGTATAAGATGTGCTTGGCGTGTCGGTGTTGCGGCAAATTCACTGTCGTGTATGCGCACGGAGCCCAATAAGGGAATTTACATGAACAATGCGAACAATTTGACGAGATCGAGGCACACATTCAAATCCGAAGAGGTCGAAATTTTCGCTACAAGTGACAACCGCGTGAGCCGCGAGCTGATTTAATTATGGTTTACTGCCCCCTAGTTTATTAACAAGTGCAACGACCCTCCCCTTCCATACTCGGTGCTGAGACTTCGCCTAGGCGGAGCAATTGGGCACACGGGGAGCGCAGAGGTGAACACTTTTTCCAACGCCAGGGTTTGTGGGTCAAACGGTAGAGCAGTCATCACACCAACATCCAGCGTACGTGATGAAATTACAGAAATTAACGGCGCTAATTTCGGCCATCGAACGGTCATCACACCAAGTGCGACGACCCCTAATGAAGGGGGAGAGTCGTGAACATTTGTTATGTCCACTAATAGTATGACGCCATTTCTGTGCGTAATAAAAGACATACAGGATACCATATAACGGCTTTACTGCGTTAGTCACTCTGTGTACATCAACACTTATTCCTTCCGTCCGTTGCTTCGTATTTAAGGGTTCAGCCTTTGTCTAGTTTGCGTGCTCCTACTGGTCCGGTCCTGAGCGCCCGCATGGGCAGGCCCTCGCGTGTTGCTGACCCCTGGAGGTAGTGCGTGACTCAGCGGCGTGCTAATGTCTGGCTCGCATGCAGACTTCCTAGGCGAGGGTCTCCTGCCGGTTTGCGGTTCTTTGTCAGGCGTGACCTCCGGACGACAGGAGCGGTGCGTCATGTGCTGGGCCGTCCTAACAATATTCATAGGTATGCGGTAACCTGGCGACTACATCCTGTAAATGCTGCATCTCCTTGTGCATGAACCACCCCTATCTGGTTTTGTCTCTGATGATGGGTTTGAGCAGGAATCCGAAACGTCAGGTGAAAAAAATCCCTTGTCCCAGCGATCGTGCCTCCTTCTTCACAATTGGGGTGGGTGTCGTGGGCGTATGTTGAGTCTCCTATTGCTGCGCCGGCCCCTGTGCGGTCGATTCACAAGGCACCGACCAAGCCGAAGCGTGAGCTGAAAGTGCTAGCTCAGTAGGGACGGGCTGGGATTGGGTCGACGTTGCCGCTGGTGAGGGTAGCGCTCGAAGGAGCGATAAACGTCTGCAAAGGTTTCGGAAAGACGCACCTCCTGACATTTACCGCCGGTTTTTTTATTACCTTTTTCATTTGAGTAATGAGGGTTTCTAAATTAGTGTTTGGGCGCCTCACTGCCAGTTTGAACCTTGAATGGTGAGTGGAGTTGGGATAAAAGCAAAGGCTACGGTAAAGTTTAAAGTCAGAATTTGGGTTATATTAAGAGTTTTATTAAAATTTGGAACGAGAGTGGGATTAAGACAAGGGTTGGGGTTATGTTTTGTCCTAAATCCAATATCAGTCACAATCCTAACACTAACCCAATTTCAAAACCTAACCCCAACTGCATCCACTGGACTAATATAAACATATTCCTGGCGCTCAAGGCTCACCTACGGACTGTTAGAAATCAGGATTACGTAGATCGAAAAGTAGTTAAAAAAATCGAGACCAAGGTTTCTAAGCTGTACATTTTTTTAATCTCGTACCTTCTTCGCCTTCTTATGTAGTAAAATTTTTTTTTGAAAAAAACCAGTTTTTAAGCTCTCTTACTTTTGAACCCTTGCTTACCAAAAATATCAAACTGCTCAATCAAACAGCGCCAATAAATGGTCTCAAAAGGAGGTTCTAAAATGCGAATTCATGTGGGAGATTTTCGACTCTACGGGCGACCCCAGGAGGAAACAGAGGTGCCTGGACTTTCTTTGTCGACAACCGGAACGTCTCAAAAAAGCCGATTACGTGAGTCGTTGTTGTATCTGAAACACTTCCCAGTTGAAAGCTGCATGTGCTTAAGTCCATTAGCATTAAACTAAATGCATTCTTTGGACTGTTTTAAAGTTACGAAAATTCCCATGGAGCAATTCAGACGAGCGTTTGGCGAGTATACGTGTGCTTTCGATAAATTCTCATCGGGCCTATACATTTATATGGGAACGAGGTACAAAGTGAAACTTGGGAGCGATAAGTGCAATCGATTACGGCTCATCTTTTCACACTAACGGGGGCATGTGAATAGAGAGGGAAGGGGGGGGGGTGAGAGGAGGCAGTAAGTGATAGTGACAAAACCTGCTTCGCGAGAACAGGTATCCTGAACGATTTATTGTAAGGAATCGTGCCGAACGACCGGCAAAACTCGTCATTTCACGGCGGAAAATAAAACTTTGTTCCTAAAAGTCCCTTTCAAAGAGACGCGGCAAGTGAAATCCTGAGAAGTCGCCTTGATCAAGCTGTTTCATGGACCTTCCCGACAGCAAGAGTTCAAGTATTGTTTTCGACTACCCCGCCTTACATGTAGAAGATAATGATAGGCTACCAGCTCAGATCACCCATGTGAATTTGCTCATTTACTTGCTCCCGTGGAACAGGCTATATTGGTCGTACGAGTCGGCGCCTGTCCGCAAGAATACGAGAACAACTGCCGGCATGGCTGAGTAAAGGTGAAGTTAAGAGCATACACAGCTCCATCCTCGTATACACGGTTGATTCTGGGCATCGTGCGGTTCCAAACGAAGTCATCCATGTGATTTACAAGGTCCCACCTAACTATCCTAAGCGACTGGGTTAGCGTTTATAAGCAACAGCGGAATCGACTGCCAACAGGCTACGGAGGTCGATCCTGTGCGCGCAGAAGAACCTCTTGCATGTATACATGTCCCCGCGATCGCCATCCCCCCTCCTCCCCTTGTGAAACGGTTCTACCTAACCCTCATTTTCAATTACTGCCACCCTTCCCTTCCCTCCCCTCTATTCACATACAAAGTTTATATAAAAAGACGAAATTCACTCGATTGCTCTTATCGCTCACACGATTCATTTTGTATCCCGAGGAGAATTTATCGGAAGCACGCGTATGCTCGCCAAATGGTCTTCTAAATTTATTCTACCTACCATGTGTTATTATGACTAAATCATTACTTCCGCACTCCACTCAGACCCAGATCTTGGACCTCCTGAACGAACGCAGCATTCTGCGGACAAGAATGGGAGATCTGATGCTGTCCTGGACGCGCTCTCGACAAGAACTGAGCGATCGCATACGTCTGAGCCTCAGTGACGCGTTCGTAGAGGCTGAAAAACGTGATCTCCAGAGAAGCAGTGCGGAGAAGCAGCGGAATTTGTGCCTGCAGCTAGCCGCTCAGGTAATCTGGATGCTTGTAACTTTTAGCCTGTGAGATCTCCGGCCGTTCTGAATGCATTTTTGGCAAAAGGAAACCGTTTACAGCCTCAAGAACCTCATGAGTGCTCTTCTAGACTGAGTCACATAACCTTGAGTGGACCAATAAGGCTAAGGAGCGGTGTTCATCTGACAGATCAGGTCGTACGAATTCGCAAGACCCTTTTTATCTTTAGTTAAGCAAAATTGCAATTAAAAAAGAAAGCCACATCAACTCCGACTTACCTAGTCCACCCCAAATTGACGCAAGCAGCAGATGCCCGTGGAGCGGGCCTTACGGGAATTGTCATAATAGGAGTGATACTGGTGGGGGCCTACGACAGTCCCAAGTAAATGTCTAACTGGCTTTCTGTTTGGATGGGACTGACACACGAGAAGGAACTTGACCCAACAACATCTACTTAAATAGATGTAGTAGTGAGTCTTCTAGAGGAAACCTGCCCTGACTAAATACAGTATCCTTACCCTTAGGTCTAACGTCGTCTTAACTTTGAAGCTTACCCATGACTCCCATTTTGAACTAATCTTAACCATGACCGTAACGTTAACCCTCAATCTAATCTCAAACATATTCAAGCACTAGGCCTAGTTGAAGAAGAAGAAGAAGAAGAAGAAGAAGAAGAAGAAGAAGAAGAAGAAGAAGAAGAAGAGGCGATCGGTAGAACAAGAGCTTTATTCGTCTGACGTTTCGGATTCTCGTTCGAACCCATCATCAGAGACAGTGACGGGGTTATGTTTAGATTAGTTTAGCGGATGGGATTGGGCTAGGGTTGGAACTTTGGTTACTGTTAGGATTGCGGCCGGTATTTGGTTTAGGACCCCACCTAACCCCAACCCTATTCTTAACTCTACTCCAGCACTAGGTTTCAATCCAACTCTTAATCTGGCCCAAATTCTGATTTTAACCCTAACCGTGGCCTTTGCTCTTATTCCAACGTTTCTGTTACTGTCTCTGCTGATGCGTCCAAACGGGAATCCGAAACGTCAGGCGAACAAAGCTCTTGTTCCGGCGGTCGCCCCTACTTCCTATCATCTAGGCCTAGTCTTGACCTTAAATGTAATCCTAACCATACCATGAAGTTGCACCCAGACCCTTGTTGTAACCGGTGCAAGCAAATTCCGAGAAGGTTTTAGAAAGGTTGGTATCACCAGCTCATTCCTACCAGATGGACATAATGATAATTTTCATCTCTCTGAATAAAAAGGTTACAGGATCCCGCTTCAGCTAGACCATTCCACCTCTAGTCAATTCTAGGGCATGTTACTTCCAACGTAGGCTGTCGTATCAAACAAAGCTTTTAAACTTATGTTCACTCTTGTGAAACACAACCTTGCTCTCGTCGGATATTGACCTGAACCTTTGCATTTTTATACCGCCTGTAAATATGCAAAAACTTCCTGTACATTAATATAATTAGGAAGGGCTGCGCCGGTAACTCTTCGAATAAAGGCGTAAACAACCTCACTCTCTTTGGATGTTGACGGAGTCGTAGAGCAATTTCAAAGTCTAAAACTCAGCCCTTCATTATGTCCGCAAAATTTCCAAATATTGAGTGTTATTTTGTAATGTTAGTTAAACGGATCTGACACAGTCGGGTTGCACCATACTCTCTCGACAATGTCCGACACTTTACCTTCTGTAATCTAGGACTGGGGGTATTTTCAGACAAAGCCATTTTTCTAAGGAACCCTGGGAAGTTGATAGTAGAATAATAATTACTGATTCCTTATAAATAAATAAAGATTTTGAATAATTCACCCCACTTCGTCCTTTAAAGGAATTCATACCTGTCCTTGATGAATCGTAATCCAGTCAATACTGACTAACCCTAAAAGTTCGGTAAAGTATTAGCGGTTTACCAAGCAAGACGATAAGGTTGATAAGGAGAAGATACGATCCCACGTTAATCCATGCATATAATTATCATATCGAGAATGATTTTAGACGTCTTCGGTGATCTCACGGGGAATCACGGCTCTATTTGTCTTATATGCCTACTGCACATCATGTTGGCACTAAAATAAATTTGATTTGCTGAAAATAATGTTTTATTGCGGTCCAGCATTTTAAAACACAGAATGTTTCGGATTTGATAAAGGTCATAGTACAGAAAATTAGTATGACGCACTAGTGAATAAAAACGCACCATTCTATCCGTAACCTTATCAACTCAGTCAACATGTCTAATGCGCAGAGATGAACTTCAGAATACTTCAAGGTTGTTCATGTCGTCCTTTTATGATCTAAAGAAAAAAGGAACCCATTTCGGAGAAGTTTATGTCAAATATTTTGACAGCTATGTATACTCGGATCACATTTTCTTATGTTTTCGAAGTCCAGGTTTTAATAGGGCCTATTTTCCGAATGGGGAAAATGTACAGACCAACTTTTTGCAAGAATTTAGGGCGAAACTACTCAATGTAGGACGATTAGAGGATAGAGCATCTCCTGAGTGGCGATGGTCAGCCCCGTGTAGCCTCGATTATTCCGTATTTCAGCTCACGGCCCAATGCCAATGTGTTTTTACTCAATTCGCAAATAGCTCGAATTCGAACGAAAAGTCTTTTCCGCGTCTTGTTTGGAGTACGGCTCGGTGGTGACGATCACTCATGTACCGTCTTCAGAAAAGCTCTAGACTTGAGCCACAACGTATGATAAACTGACCGCAACTATTGCTTCCAAAGGAGCAGTCTTTTCTCGTTATTTAAAACAATTGGTAGTTTGAGCAGGTCTCAACATTATCAGTAATACTGGTTATCGGTTGGGACTCTAAATGTGTTTAAATTACCGTATCGCTAAACTTAACACCTGAACTTCAGATTACCCGAAGTGTAATGGGACCAGAACATTTTTAACCTCGCCTCTGAATCATGTATCGGAGGAACGTTTTTACTGTTTTATTGGTTATATCTTGACTGCCTGACATGACATTTCAGTATGCTGAAGATCTGCTAGGATATCAGAACTTTGGCCATCGCCTGGCCTGTCTAGACCAAGGTTCAAAAGAAAGTTTCTGGCACCCGTCTTTCACACTAACATTGCGGCGTTTTTTCTCTGATTGCAGGTCCAGCAATGGCGAAAGGAGAAGGCTGAATTGGCAGAGCTGGAGTATCGTGCCAACGAGGCATTTCAGGCTGCAAAGGCGCGCTTGGATGCAGAGAAACTGGACCGGGAGATGCACCGGCGTGAACTCATCAAAAAACAGGTCAGTTTATCCGTGCACCTGAATTAGTCGATAGTTTCGTTTGAAGAACACAGTTAAACAGTTTGATGAGACCTGAGGAGATAATCCTACTTGCAATTGCAACTGTTGGCAGCTTAAAGGCGATTACAGATCCCACAAAATTCTATTCTATGGTGTCCCGTGGGCTGCAAGAACAAGGTATGATCACCACTTCACTGACACCTAATGAATATTCCTCGTCCATTTTTAATATGTAAACGCTTGCATGCGACTGTTTCTAGGATTTCATTGATACCAGGAATCTGGTTGATCTTGTCGTTCCAGAAAGTTCAGTAGTATATCAATTTTTCCTTTAAATCCATTTTAGTTTACGCTTGTATGAGGTCAGTTCACAAGGGGTCAACGTTATTCTCATTAACTTTTGGCTGTCTTTACCCTGCCAGCACCAGCCCCGCCTAGCCCCGCCTGGCCCCCTCAATAATGGCGGGGCTAGAGGGGGCTATGAGGGGGCTAGGCGGGGCTGTGGCGGGGCATGCAACGCGATAGCCCCGCCTAGCCCCGCCAGCGAAAAAAAATGCGCAGGGGACGCCACATCCCAGCCCACTTTTGGCACCACTTTAAAATATCGTCCCCATTATCAAATATACGAATTAATAACACACACACATTGTAGACCGGTGGACAAATAAGAGTTTAAGCAATGAGGGACTTAAACAAAACCTCAATATATTGTGCTCATCCGCAGCTACATTCAGTGGGCGTAAACGGATGCTTTCTCCATGGTTTATAAGCCAATTTTGATAAATTAGCTCCTTTAAATTCCAAAGAAGGTACAATAAGTGGTGCTTTTGGAACATATCTTTCGATGCAAATACGCTTCAAAAGGCTTCAATCCAGAGGGGGCTCTGGCCCCGCCCAGCCCCCTCCAGCCCCGCCTATGAAGGAGCCATGTGCTGGCAGGCGAGGCTCTGGCCCCACCCAGCCCCTTCCAGCCCCGCCTATGAAGGGGCAATGTGCTGGCAGGGTAAATATCGATATCAGATTAATCAAAATCTTCAGGATTATGATCCTAACTTGCTAAATGTTTACTTGGTGTATGTCTCGCAAATATATTTAAACAGGGGACCATTAACTTTTATTTCCAGGAGTCTGAGTTACCGGGCCTGACAACTTAGAGTGACTGATGGTAAATTACGCGGAAACGATAGGTGATGCCCACCTTGAATCCTTGAAATTTCATGAAGTAATAACACTATTTATGAGACTCAAATTTCGCAGAATGTACGGCAAATCTACTATCTCATAAAATATCAGCCGAAGTCCAAAAATATATTTTTGATTCGAAGAGATTACTTAAGCGAGCTTATAATATTAATTATTTTGCAACATAATACTAAGATATTTCAGTCACATCAAGATGCCAGCTTTTGAATGAGCGTCTTTTTGGCCGTCCGAGAAAAGTACGCTCCGTAAAAAATGAAATGTTTTCACCGCCGTCCAATGCCCTTATATAAAGAACGTACAGAAAAACATCCTTTCGCGTACTCATTTTGTAGTAAATGGCGTCTTTTCTAAATTATTTTTATAACAGAGAGAGTATTTATTGGTTTTGGAAAAGCTTGTTTATTATAAAATTTCATAAGACCGTGGGATGTCCTTTTACACAACATCATATCAGCACCTTTATCGATGCCACCTATTCGTTATACAGCCTGGTTCACGTCTTCTCTATAGCGTAAAGAGATGTGCAATTCGTCTTTCACAGAATGTATGTAACATTTACTTTGGAGACCATGAGTGCAAATGAAACGTCAGGTGATCCATAAAATTATTCGAGAATTTAAAAGTTATCGAAAGCCGAAAGATACTCTCTCGTTAGATAGAAAATTCGAAGACGCAATTTTTTACCGAAAGAAAGCGGGAAAGGATGTTTTGTGCACATTCTATATAACATATACTTGAATTTATAAGAACGTTAGATATCAAAGGGAAATTTCATGCCCCCTAGGTATTGTGCAGGGAATTTTCCTAGAAGGAGGAACTTTTGCATATTTTGATTTGTTGGACGATAATTCTGGGGCGCAAAAATCTCGTGAAATTTCCCAAACGAGAATCAGTGAGAACAGGAATGTCTGAGTAATACTACGATGACGGATTCTCACTGACCTAAAAATCTTAACAAAATGAAATACCAGTCCTGGAGATTCAGCAGGTCTACCCTTATTATCCCTTCGGTACCCCCCTTTGGCACGACTATTCGATGCTGTACTCTTGAGGCTGTCGAACTAACCGATAAAGAGAATTTTTCATCGTCATCATTACTGATCCAAAATAACAGATTTCAGATCGCCGCAGAGCTCAGCAGGCGGAGAAGGCACTACTGGAGGAGGCGGAGAGAAAACGCCTGGAGGAGTTGAAGGCGGCGCATGAGGCCCAACGGCGCCTGGACACAGAACGTCTCGCGCAGTTGGAGAAGGAGCGTCTGCGCAAACTGGCTGAGGATCGCGCCCGAGCCCGTGAGGAAGCAGAACGTGAACAGAGCCTGAAAGAAGCTCGCCTAGAGGCTATTCGCATGAAGGTAGGACCTGTGTTGGTGGTGGTGGGGGCGGTGGTGGTGGTGGTGGTGGCGGTGGTGGCGGTGGTGGTGGTGGTGGTGGTGTTTGGATGACTAGCTCGGCGAGTGGTGCAAGTTGTTTGGGCTGCACAACCATGACATGGGAGGTTTGCCGGCACGTCAAGGCACAGGTTCACGCCGAGCCGGAAATCAGTGCCCCATCACCGCATCAGACGACCGACTGGCTCAAAAAATGGACTGAATAAGATAAGAAAGAGTGAGGGTCGGCTCTGCTGATTCCATCCCCACAGCACCCAGAGCCTATTCCTGGCTATAAACCATCGGACGCGCTTTTAGTTTCAAACTATCACAGTGCACTAAAAGTCATGGTTTGAAGGGCCACTAATCGGCGAAATAACTCGGCCACCTCGGGGCGGGGTGTTGAGATCCGATCAGCCTATCTGCAGTTTTGGGTGAAAACGTACGTAGACGGGGCGCGTGGGTGGTCCGGGTAGACGGGCTGCCTAGGTTTTGCCGGCCACTACGCTCGATCCCCTCTGTGGTCTTCTTGACTATGTCTTGGTATCAGATTCAGTTGGATGAAGGGAGAAGGGAAAACTTGGTAGATGCTTTGCAAGTCCGCAATCGCCATAAACTTATTCATGCGTCCAATAGGCCGAAGAGCACATGATGGATTCACTCGGTAAGGACGGTCAAACTGTCGGTTTAGTGTCAACTAGACATTAGCGAATTCGGCACAATGTCGCACCTATCCTGCGCGTGGACAGATACGTCAAACTTTCTCGAAATCCATGTTTTTCATGCAGTTCTTAAATGTTAGTCGGATGTAGAGTGGCTCTCTAGTCGCCTTACTACTCAAAAGCAAAGTACGATACTGCTTTTTTTATTTTTTTCGCGTATTTTGTCATATAAATGTTGGAAGGGGAACTGTTCCTAGCTGCTTCAGAAAAAAACTATATTGCGTAAACTTCCTCCGTTTCCTGCTTTGTAAAAGTGGGTTCTATTCAAAACATTTTCTTAAATGACTCTCAGCATATTGGGCTGAAATCCATGAATCTCTTTCCGTTAAACCGTGATCTTGAGGGAACATGGTTTATACTGATGAATGGTCCCTCAAATTTTATATGTCCTGAAACCTAATAGGTTGTTCATTCACGGAACTTCGTGGTAGGTTCTTCTAACATAAATTTCCAGTTTCCAAAACAAACGCGTAAAGGATTTTCCAGCTTTGAATAATAAAGCAACCAATGGGTCACCGTTTGGGATTATTTAGGTTACGTGAAGACCTTAACCCCTATTTTCATCTATGTCTTCTGAAGAATGAAGGTTTTCGAATTGTAGGTGCGGCCTACTGTACCTGATGACCCCTTGCGTCTTCTGTCGTCCACAGCTGTAAGTCGAGACTGGTGCGATTTTCAACTATTTCATTTGCATTTTCTGACGAGAAATGATATTTACGCGGAAGTGTGGTAAGAGTTCGAGCAGTGGCATTAATTTTTGACATCCGTCAAGGGGCCCTCATCCTTGCACATTAAGTAGCGTACTGCTATCTCAGTCGTTTACCCAAAGAAAACATTTTTTGGACCTAAATACTCTTTGCGGGAACTGGGTTGATTAAATAAAGGCTTGCAAGTCCGCAGCAGGATATTGGAGACATAACTGCCACCACATCTCACTCCCGAGAGTGGGAAGATTCGAAATCTGGTATTAGAGCTGTGTTAGCTTGCTGCATCCCAGTCTTTCATGGTTCTACACGAATGTAGTTGTCCGCCCTGCTGAGGATTGCCGTTGCGTTTCTATAATCGTCAGTTCATCGTGTACTACTACGCGGGGACACCGTCTCTGTTGACCTGACTCAGCCTCGGTGTCAGTGATGGGTTACGCTGATACCTGCCTGTACTGGTTTTAGAGCTTAACACCTCTCCCATCGTGGTTTTATCCTTGATCAGTCGCCGTCGATCGGCAGCTATAAATCTCAAAATCCGGCCGGAATATTTAAATCTGAATCAGTCCTTTAAGGCTCAAACGTCCTATCATGGGGTTCATAATTCACACCCTATCGGTAGTGATCAGAAGTATCTAATCTCTTGGCCGCCAGCCTCTCAAGGTGGCAGGGGAGCCTGACTAGCTGATGCCGGCTGGTTGTTCAAAAGTAAGCAATCTCTTCTTCCTCAGCCTTGTCGTTATCCGTTTTCAAACCACGCCTCCGCAGTAAAGAAACAGTGTAAGAAGGTAAACTATGCTTTTGGGTGCCTTAAGGCTCAGTCATGAGGCATCATACCCTAGATCGAGGTAAAGAAATTCATGTAATCACTGGTGCTCTGTTAAGTGTGCCAATCGACCCCGTCGATTATGGTATCCCCAATCCCCGTGTAACTTGCCCAGCTACTTAATTTACTAAAGTAGCAAGGGAACATTATCCTTAACTTAAGTATTGAGAGCAGACCGCCTTGTCCGGATGCTACCGACCTGAGATTAATTTATTCCCAGTTGATGACAATACATTAGCCAGAAACGGCCACGGCAGTCTACCTCCCCTCTGCCATGATTTGTCTTATTTAACCATATATACTTGTGTGGGGTGAGCTTTTCGTTTTTTTGTAAAGGTAGAAGGCTAAACTGTTGTGGCCGGATCTCGCTTAACAATTAGGATGAAAACACATGCCCGAACAGGAAATAATCACACCTAGAGGCAAAAGATCCAGTCCTGGGTGCTTACTGAGTGACAAAATCGCAAGAAATATCCCCCCTGTTTTGTCTAAGCCCCTCCCCCAATAGATGATTGTACTTGAGAGAGAAGGACGTGGCGTTGTCTTTCAGTGAGATTGCAGCACGACACAGGCGAGATGCAGATAAATAGTCTTGGCTTCCTTTGTTGCCGTTGCACTTGCAGGATAGTAGGCCAGCGTTAACCTGCAGACATTACCGACCCTAAATTTTGGCAAGCCCTTCCGTACGTGGGGAACGTCTCAGAAGCCGTCAGCCGCCTTGTCGTTTTACTTGGAGTTTATGGTTGCACGCATGCCGAAAGCAACCGTCAGGCGCCAAGTCATGAGGCCGAAAGTCCCACTGCTACGGCAGAAAACGTTTGGAGTCGTTTACCGGATCTGGTGCAGTTGTGGACAGAGCGACGTCGGAGAAACCGGCAGATTACTTCTGACGCGCGTGACTGAGCACGCAGCAGCGGTGAGGAGGAAATGCTTCAGTTCTCAGTTCCGGCCATATTTTCAAGTTTAAAGAAGCGGAAATTCTCGCAAGGGGTGACAACCGCGTGAGTCGCAAACTGCTCGAATCATGGTTCTCAGGCCATTGCATTGACTTCCGGATATCATGTTCAGTGCTGGAACATTTCCTGAGCAGGGAACTCAATCACGTGGGGATGACGCGGGGGCTCAACTAGCCTGGTGACAGCGGGCCGAATTGCCGAGCCATCATAGCGTTAGTATCCGCCACGGATTATAAAATTGGGACAATTAATGACTCGGTCCCAGACTGACGAGCCATCATCGCCTTAATTACAACCTCCATCGGTGATTACGAGAGCTGTTAACTATAGTACCCATGTATCCCCCCCGGCAGCTACGTACTACAAATACTGCAATTTTCGTACCTCCACTACCTCTGTCTGCTACCGTCTCTGATGGTGCGTTCGAGTGACTCTCCGAAACGTCGGGTCAATACGCTTCTTCTTCCAGTGATCGCATCTTCTTCTTCTGAACTGCTTCCTGATACTCGCCTGTTCTCTTCTATAGGCAATAGGCACGCTGATAAAAGACTGGTTGAAAGCAGGGGAGCGATTCAGGCTCATTTTATCGTATTCCGAGTCGCAATTTCCCCCTGCAGGTATGCAAGTCAGACAGACGGGAGGCGGTACTCATGACCGCATGAGCCATTTGGTGGTCCGTTGTTCGAACGCGCTACCTGACATCCTAGAAGCAGTCAAGAGTTCATCTCCGCGGCATAAAGATTCTGGTCGGAATCCGCGGCAGAGAGGATCGAGAGTAGGGCAAAGCCTCTATCTCCAACCGAAATTCCGTTGGCTAGTGTTTGCCCTGCCTTTCATGTTTCGTGCGTTGCAGTCTCGCCGACAGACTGTGCTACCCCATACTTTAAACCGTTCAGCCGACATGTGGCAAGACCGCACAGCCACCGTCCATTTGTCGTCTTCTCTGGTCCCACATGAGTATTAAGTCTAAAACAAATGAAACATCGGTCCCGACAATCGATCCACCCCATTTTTTTCCTTCTCAGTTAACGACACCCCCACCTGCAGTAGTCACTTCTTTCTTCAGTGGTATCTTTTCAGTGATGGAAGTGCTCACACCTGATGCTGACCTGTAACTGAAGATAATTTCAGTTCTATTACTAACCTCTGTACTTTTGATGGCGGCGAAAACGTAGGCCTGGAGACACAGGCTTGAACAGAGTCACCCCCTACCAGAGGAGATGGAGGGCATTGAACTGCGACGCTTCTACCTCACCATCGACAACCCACTGAACACCTTCACCGACAAGCAACTGCAGAACGACAGGCGGACACGGCTGTCGGCGGCCCTCTTTGATGCGGGCCTTCTGGACTCCGACTATGCCCGTGACCTGCTCGCACAAGTGCCCTTGGAACGACCGGTGCGGTTGGAGATGATGACCAGTCTTGAGGCGGAAGAACGGCGCATGAAGCAGACTTCAAAGTATGCGCCTCGGTGATCGGTCTGCTCTCCCGTCCGGAACACCGCATTTCGTCTCCTTCTGTTATGATTAGTCACGTTATTACCAGCAAGTCCGTTCAGTAGCATCAGTACTACAAACTCTACCTGTATGCCTGATGATTTTGCTCATGTTTTCTGAAAAGTAAACAGTGACCTTTACATAGAAGAACCGCCTATGCTATTTTTTGCAGGTTTTCTAAAAATTGCCAGGTGGGGATCTCAGGCGACGGGTAATTTTTGTCCGTTTCTGAGGGCAAGTCCGTGCAATTCTGCCTGCATCTAGACGCTGCAGAGGATATTTCGATCGTTCCTTTTAGATATTTTAAAAGGATGACTTTCTCTGGTTTCGCTGATTCAATCTCGCGGGCTCCGCCACTAACACGATCCAGGGGAACGATAATCTAGTAGCATCGAGCATGATCTAGTTTTCTCTGTGGGAAAATCAAGACCGGTGACATTCTGAAAACTTTAAGAACATGCTTCTGTCCAGTATGTGTGAGGATGCACGTTTTTAATTCCTCGCGCTTTAGGTCACTTGCTGGAGGCGCTTATAGTGACGAGTAATATCCTCGGCGGCTAGACCCAGACTCCCAACTTAGCAGAGCTATTCCGAATTTAGAGGATTAAATCCCTCTAACTTGAGGTTGTTTGGGAACCGAAAGAATAACGAGGCAGGCACGATGTTCAGATGCAAGTTCAGTCAACCGGCGTATCGGCCTCCCACCGGCTTACGGGTTTTAAGTCAGTAATTGCGAAAAAACGGATGAAGAGAGTGAGGGTGGACCTATAGGACCAAAGCCAGCTTGACGACGTGTTTGACCAGCGAACAGCCACTCCGGCAATTAAATAACCCTTGGCAGACGTGATGAACGACAATTCAGGCAAAACGTCATCAGCGTTGTCGCAACCACCAGGAGTCAAAAAAGGGAAAAATTATTCTCAATAATTCGACCGCCGCATCTGACGATATCCACCGTGTGCTTCACATCAAGGTTAATCGGGCACGGTGACCTACGCATGAATCAGCTTATAGTGAGAGTAGACTTGCGCAGCATCTACCGCACTCTCTCATCCTCCCCACCTTGACCCGATGTCAAGACATAGTCAGAAAGATCGGAGGGAAGGCATAGTGACATGGCGCGGTCGAAACCGTAACTTCGCGCTCTAGTCCATAACAAACATCCGACCACGATTTTGACCAAAAACTGCCACGACGGAAAAGACATGGATTACTGGGCAGCCATGCATACTACCTGTATACCCAGCAGGAGTGTAAGCGCATATACCGCTAGAGAACCATGTACCGGAGAACTCTCAGCCAACACCAGACTGAGAGGGTCATGGTTTGCTGATCATGGCGCAGTAAACACTCACAAACCTTGGGGCCCCGAATGGTCACACAGAGTCCAGCATTGGCCTGGACCATCACCCAGCAAAGGCTGGGTAACCTGTCCGTGAGCGACTAAAAGACACTACCCCTAAACACACACACTCCTCACATGCGTGAGAGTACCACAGGTCGCTTCAATAAGGGGCCTTGACAGTCTTGTTCTCAGCCCACCAGTCTGCCACTCCACATGCAACCGGGGCAGATTGCTTGGACTGATTTGGGGAGTCAGTCGGCAGCCTTCCAAGTCACAACGCTTGGCGCACCGTGATAGTCTCAGACTCGGATCAGGCATGCAGCAGAAGAGCCGATTGGAGACGGAGCCGAGATGCACAGTTCCCGCTTGCGTGGGATTTGGCAATCGAGTACCTGCAATGGGGATATTGTTGTGTGATGCGGTTGTTGGTAGGGGATGCGTGGTGCAGCCGGCGGTTGTCTACTGCAGGTTTTCTTGAATGTGCATGTGACCTAATAAGCCTATGCGACGAGTGAATGTGTGGGTGCGGTGAAGGCAGTTGGGGCGGATGCGTCGGGTGTATGTTGGTGCTCAAGGCAATGGTTTGCCAATCTCCGTGCGACGGATTCGCAGGTGACCGACCAGGCCGATGTGTGAGATAAATGTGCAATCACTATGGGGACAGGTATGAATCGAGTCAACATCGCTGGGTGAGAGTGTTGGTGGTGATAGTAGAAGATGATGGGACACCAGACGTTGTCCATCGGTGGGGGCGGGGGGGGGGGAGTGCGTGAAGTCGTGGTGGCGGTGATGTTGTGGTCAGGGCAGGGATTGGGGCAGGACGGATATTGTCGGTGGTTGGTGGTGGCGGGGCAGCGGCCGTGCGATTTGAGGTGACGGCCGGCGCGAGGTTTGCGGCAAGAGGTAGACGTTGTCAGGTTGAGGGCGTATTGTGTCCGAAGATGTCCGACGAGACCGATGCGTGTGCTGAATGCTGCATGTTGGGAGCAGCAGATGGTTGGCATTGAGGAGGCGAGGCACTCGTGATTTGCAAGCCTCCCGTTTAGCTTTGGCGACGGCGATACGATCTGTTTCGTAGATGGCGGCGCCAGTTTCACTTCTCTTCCTCAGTCCGCTCTGTTCTGGGCGAGGTTCTCTTAGCATCCTGGATTTATACGCAATCGCTTAAGAGAATTCCTCAGTGTGTCCTTGAAGTGCAGTTTTGGTCCTCCCCGTCGGCGAGTATCGGTGGACTTTCTCCGTAGTAAGGGCCTCGATAAGGAATAGTCAACCAGGCTTGTCAGTAAGTTTGGCAAGACATCGGAACAGGTGCAATTTCAGTCAACCCGCACATCGACCTCCCTCCAGCCCATATGGTCTTGAGCCAGCAACTGCAAGAAATCGGGAGAACAGAGCGGGAGTGCATAGCTCGCCAGCGAGTTTACCAACGAACAGCCTCATTGACGACCAAACGACTCTCGGCGGACCTGATAAACCACAATACGGGCAAGTCATCATCAGCGTTCTCGCAGGCACCAGGGGTTAAAATAGAGGAAAATTAGTCATAGTAGTTGACTTGTTTATTTTCGCAATAAGTGCCCTGTCAATAAGCAGCCAACCGATCCTGTCAGCAAATTTGAGAAATGAATCCTTTCTATCCCTGGGATGTTGTGCTAACTTCCAGAGAGATCAAGGTTGTTGTTAAGGTTTGGTTTAGAGTTATGTGTAGGGTTTCGGTTGGTGTTAGGGTTAGGACGCGTGAATATTTATCCTTCCTTTTATTCTGCGCAAGTCACCCGTATCACTGAGGGGTTCCTATTGTGTTCTATTGTATATATTTTCGGCAGTATTGCATCTTCTGGTAACGAGACCATTTATAAACTAGCCTGTTGGACAGGGTGAAGGGACTGCGTACTAATTCGCGCTGCCATCTTTAACACGCCGTTTAAGTGCAAGCAGTATGGACAAAAATAAATTTTATTCAAAACCTCCAAAGTAAGTATTACATTTCAACGGAGCGTGCATACAACTGAAAGTTTGAAATGATGCAAATAAGATAAATCGACAAATAAAACAAGTCGATAAACACACTGAAACATAATAAGACCGGAAAAGACTTGAAACAGAAAGAAAAAGCCTAGGCGCCTATACAGAGTCAATTTTCGGAGCGAGCGCTGTGCCTGTACCGCTTTTGAGGTCAGAGCGTAGGGTGTAGTAGGTCTGCCGTGGTTCAGCCGACTCCAGTTTCAGCAAATCCTCCGGCGAGAGATCGCATTCAACGCCGCTCAACCGTCGGAAGACGGTCGCAACCACTCTGGCCGTGTAGATCTTGGAGGTGGCTACCGCGTTCAGTAAGTTGGCAAATCCCAAGTAGCGGCCCTTCTCCTCGTGGAAGTTCACCTCAATTGTCCTATAGCCGTCCGGACAGAGGTTGCATCTGGGATCTGAGGGATCCAACAGGACGATTCGGCAATGACAGAAGCTCTCGATCCTGATTAACCGACGGCTCTTGAAGTAGGTGGCAACCACGGGATCAAAGTCCTGCGGCACATAGTAGATCTGCCGGATCACTCGGCCTGTGTGCAAGCGCTGGTGGGGGGGGGGGGGAGTTGCAACAAAAAGAATGGATGAAAAGCTGTTTTTTCGGAAATCTTCAGCCTTATTCTAAGGTGAGCTTTGGGATAACTGATCAGATTAATATCCAGTAACACTCAGACACGTCTTCTAATCCGGAAATCTTTTGTTATGGAGAGTGCAAGCGGCGTAAAGCCACGGCCTAAGGCGTTGAACAGGGGACTAAGCCGGCGGCATGAGACACGCGTGAAGTTAGACGGCCGACCGGCGTGCACTGCAGCGCCGAGCACGTGTGGTGGCTTTGCTCACGTGTGCGGCCCAATCAATGGCTGGTCTAACATTCCAGACGTTTCCGCGGGGGGGGGGGGCTATCGCGCACGCGGTGGCCAATCAGCGATCAGTACGCCCGGGGCAGGAACATTCTAGAACGCCCTCAACGGCTGGCAGGTCATTGGACGGAATGTTCCAGAACGCACAGGAGCCAATGTAAATAGCTCATCTCTCTGACGAGTTGTAACCCCTCGTGTCCGCAAGTTACCAATAAAGTGCTTGTCCTCCGAACCGCCTCTCTTCCTGTCCTACCTTTCTTCCGGGTCATAACACTTTCAAGGCAGGCCTTGAAACCCCCAACTCGTGGGAGTTTACTCAACGTCTAGATGGCTAAAGTGTACGCCACCGTCTAGCAAAGTTGGACACACTGTTGGTTTTCAAGTGAACGGACGTTAGAACTTAGATGTGCAGACCTAAACGGCTCAGAGACCGAATGTGAAGTCGCACGTTCCATCGGCAAGCTACGAATTTGAGCCATCTTGACTGTGATCTGAAGTATTCTAACTTGACGTGCTGCACGATCTAACTGTAAAAACATATTTTGTAAATACGAGAAAACCCCTTTGGCATCCTTGAAATCCACTCAAACGGTTTACACAGTTTAGCAATCGACAAGCCTGCAGTATTTGATAAACCTCATGGACCGGTTACCGTAAGGATTCACTTGCTATTTATTGCTGTCCGCGTTTTGGGAAACGTCTAAACTGCACGTATGATTCGGTTCGACATTACACAACACGTGCCACTTCAG